TCAGTTATTAAACAGTATTCATTAGTTGTATGATTGATATATTTTTGTAATTTTACTTTTCAGCCAAAAGCAGAGCAAAGATTTAAAGTCTATAACGCACTCAAGTGTCGTATACTTCAAGATTATCCGGAATTTAATTTATAATAAATCACAAATTATTATTGTGCTATGTACCAAACATTTATATATTTCTACTATATATTATGTTAATTAAATTATCTCATAATCTGAAAATTAAGTCTAATAAATCTATAAAATGTAACAATTTTGTATTTATTTTTAGCTACAGTAATGTTTTTGAGTAGTAAGTTTCATTACGAAATAACTTATGTTTTAATTTAATAGTTTCCAATAACATAAAATTCTATAATATAGTTGATTTGTATTTATTCACATGTCATGAATAAAATCTCATGCATTCACAACTGCAGGCAATTGACAATTTTGACACTAAAAATACCGTAATAACACACATTACACATTATCCATATACAGTAAGTTTACTTTATCTCAAATTAATTGAACAGTGACCACTTTAAAGTTTAATTTTTCTAGTTTAAACATACAATAATACGATAATATTACAGTCTCCATTATCTACAATGTACATTTATACAGTATATATTTAAATAATGCGCTCATTAAGTTAAATATTTAAACAATTTACTACGAGTACAGAGGGAACAAATAAGCGTCAATATGATCTGTATGCACTTACACCAAGGACATTCTTGTATGCTTTTATCTAACATATCATATTTAACAAGGCACATGCGTGTATCCAACAAATAATAATAAATAAATGAGTTGTTATTCAATATAAACAGAAATATAATTTATATGAACTAGTACTGGTAAGTTAAATGATATAATTTTAAATGTGTTTAATTGTAATTATAAAATATTTTTAAAGAAATATATATTAATATACATAAAATGGATGAAAGCGTTTCCCCTGAGAATCGGCACAAAGTTTACGAGTTATGCAAAACATTATTAACTGGAAAATGGACTCAAATTAGTGAGAATGAGCTCATAATTAAACCAAATTAGTAAGTCTTAAGTCACCTTGTCACATTATACTTTACAACTAAATAGATTATTAGTAGTAATTCAATAAACAAATATACAGAATATTCTGTGCATTAAAATTATCATTTTATTTGCAGCGATGGGTTTACAAACCAATTGTTTTACTGTTTTCTACCGGAAAACCAAAACCAAGAAAAATATAACAAAGTTGTCATCAGATCCCAAGAAAACAGCGAATGGCAGGACTGCTACAACCGGACATACCTGTTGACAATGGGCTTACTATTATCGGAAAAGGGACTGGCACCTAAAATATTAGGCGTTTTCGACACGGGCACTATCACTGAATTTATTGATGTAATTATTATAATTTAAAAGTTAAGGAGTAATACAATAATTAAAACATAATTATATTTATCATTATTTGCAATAGTCTCGATATTTCAGTGGTAGTGATGACCACAACCCCCGACTGGTTGCACTGTTAGCACAAAGGTTGGCTCAATTTCACGCATCGGACATACCTGTCCCTAAAGACAGTTCCCACCAGTTCTTCGACATTGTGTTTGACAAATGGTTTGATGAGAGTCGGCGACAGTCGCTACGGGAGGGACTGGTATACCAAGAGATACAGAAACACAAATACCACACATTCCTAACCCTGGACCTATTGAGTGAGATGTCATGGCTGAAGCAGACAATTATTGACCTCAAGAGTCCGGTAGTCTTCTCGCACAACGACTGGAACCGAAAGAATATATTAATTCGCGAAACAAATGACAAGAATTCACAAAATATTGAGATATTTTTCATAGACTTTGACTTCTCGTCGTATAGCTACCGGGGCTTTGATATGGGCATCTATATCAGTGGTTGGGGTCAAAAGGACCTACAGTTTGGTTCGGGAGACTTCCCCACCG